AGCTCTGGGCTCCCACCCTCACCCCCAGCTCCCTTCAGACACAGCTCCCCTCATCCCATGTACCCTGAACCCCCAGCTCCTGGTTATCACACACCCTCAACTCCTCTAACCCCCAGCTCCGGGCTATCACCTCAGCCATAGCTCCTTTCACCCCCAGCTCCAGGCTCTCTCTCTCTCTCTCTCTCACACACACACACACACACACACACACACCCCCAACCCAGCTGGACTATTGTGTCTAGTTCTGGACACAATATTTCAGGAAAAATGTGGACAAACTAGGAGCAGATTCAAAGGAGAGTCATAAAAATGATTAAAGATCTAGAAAACATGACTATGAGGGAATATTTTTTTTTAAAATGGGTTTATTTAGACCAGAGAAGAAGACTCAGCGAGGATACGATAAAAGTTTTCAAGTACATAAAGGTTGTTACAAGAAAGAGGAATAAAAATTGTTCTCTTTAACCTTTGAGGATAGGACTAAAAGCAAAGAGCTTAAATTACAGCAAGGGCATTTTGAGTTGGACATTAGGAAAACCTTCCTATCAGGGTGGTTAAGCACTGTAATGAATTGCCTAGCAAGGTTATGGAATCTCCATCACTGGAGATTTTAAAGAGCAGGTTACACAAACACCTGTCAGTGATGATATAGATAAGACTTAGTACTACCAGGAGTACAGGAAACTTAGGAACTATGGCCACTAGGGGCAGAGAAGTCTGTGCATGAGGATGCTCAACATAAACAAATTGTCTCAGGGCCCTAATATGCTGTGTGCCAAAAGTTGCTAACCCCTGGATAAAAGGAAAGGAGAACAGAGAATACATCTCTCTTCTGATTCCCTCTTCTGCTAATAACAGGGGGGAGCTCCCATTTCTCCTGGGATGACACGGTAAGTCTTCCTCTTCCTCTTGCAATTAGCTTTAGCTTCTGGAGCTAGTGTTGATGAACTATGCCAAGTTCTTGAGTGAATAACTGATCATCTTCTCCAGTGGCAGCTTGGAGCACATTCAACCCAGTGGGACAGCCTGTATTCATTTTGTTTTAATGGCTTGTTGGAGAGTTGGTGGCTCCTCCATGGGGACATGGTCCCAAATATGTCCCTAATGCAGTTCATGACTCCCCTGACATCTGTCCTCTCTGCAGCAAGAGAGAGACTTAGCTACGGTACATCATATTGTAGCCCCTTTTACAGCTTCTCTAGAACCCCTTATTGAGATTCTAGCTCCACTTCTCTCCTCGCCTCATTTATGCACAACCCATCTCCTGAATCCACAGAGTTGCCAGTGTCAACTGTGTCCTGGTGCTGGCCATCCATCACAACCATAAGGAGGAAGCTGGTTGGTGCTGTGCAACTGAAATACCTATTTTCTGATCTCTCATTAAGTCATACCTGCAAGCAGAGGTTCCTGTGGGCTGCACCCACTGACTCCTTAGACACCTTTAAGGAGAAGTAGGTGCTGTTAAGAGTTCTTTGCTCAGGCTGCTCTTCCAGTGTCCTGGTTTTTAACCTTTAACCATATTTCCTGTCTTCCTTTTTTTTTCATGTGATGTCCTCAAATTTTACATGAGTTTTATGGCCCCCTCCCAACTGGTTGAGGGCCATTTGCTTTGGGCAGGCTGTTGTCCTCTGCCCCACATTAACCATAACAGGTTGGAGGCTTGGAGCACACTCAGGAGAGGGTTGACTGAGCAGGAAAGCAGAGGTCCAGGAAGCTGCTGGGTTGCTTCCAACTCCCAGAGCAGAGTCCCAAAGGATGAGAGTAGTTTCTAGGGCAAAGACCAAGGGGCTTTGGCGCCTGGGTTGTGGGCTTCAAAATCACTGCTTAGTGCAATCAGGGAGATATTTATTTGCTCGGAATATATAAATGTATGCAAAAATAGGTGGAAGCGGTGAGGCTGCTGGGAAATCGCTGCTTCACCCCTCAGCACACACCCTGCCTTAGGAGGTGACGTTGAGCCAACGCGCGAGGGAACTGCCCGCCCCTTCTGAGTGAGGAGGGGCGGAGCCAGTGGAAGGACCACGCCCCGGGGAGGCGGGCGGCGCAGCAGCTTCTATGAGCCCATTTGACTGGGAGCCCGCCCCTTGTTTCCGGCGTATGGAGAGGAGGCGGAAGTGAAGCGGAAGCGCCGTTGGAAAAGCGCCGGGAGTGAGCGGCTGGAGTCATGGAGGAATGAGTGCGTGCCCTCCCCTGCTTCGCTAGGGTGCCATGGAGACCGTGCAGCTGCGCAACCCGCGCCGGTGAGGGGCCGGGGCTTGGGGTGTCGGGACCTGGCCTGGGTAGGGAGAGGCTGGAGGGCATGAGGGAGGTGGGTCGGTCTGGGGGATGAGGAGGGAGTGGGTCGGTCTGGGAGAGCCTGGAGATGAGGGGGAGGTAGCTCTGGCGGATGGTGGGGGGGATGGGAAAAGTGGGTCAGTCCCGGGGCTGGGCAGAGTGGTGGGTCCGTCTGCGGAAGGCTGGGGGAGATCAGAGAGGTGGGTCGATCTGGGGGGGAGGGGGATTGGTCTAGGGCAGGCTGGAGATCAGAGAGGTGGGTCGATCTGGGGGGGAGGGGGATTGGTCTAGGGCAGGCTGGAGATCAGAGAGGTGGGTCGATCTGGGGGGGAGGGGGATTGGTCTAGGGCAGGCTGGAGATCAGAGAGGTGGGTCGATCTGGGGGGGAGGGGGATTGGTCTAGGGCAGGCTGGAGATCAGAGAGGTGGGTCGATCTGGGGGGGAGGGGGATTGGTCTAGGGCAGGCTGGAGATCAGAGAGGTGGGTCGATCTGGGGGGGAGGGGGATTGGTCTAGGGCAGGCTGGAGATCAGAGAGGTGGGTCGATCTGGGGGGGAGGGGGATTGGTCTAGGGCAGGCTGGAGATCAGAGAGGTGGGTCGATCTGGGGGGGAGGGGGATTGGTCTAGGGCAGGCTGGAGATGAGAGAGGTGGGTCGATCTGGGAGACGGGGAGGGGAGGGTGGGTCCATCTGGTGGTCAGGGGAGGGTGGGTGTGGGCAATGTAAATACAAAAATCTTCCCACTGAAAGGTTAAATCCTCTAAAAATCAGGCAATATTCATAGGTGACTCATCCCAGCTTTTCTCAGGGAGAGCAGGGACCCGTGGGATGGGTGACATAGCAACAAGCATCACAGGACTCTTCTCCACAGGCTAAAAATCTACTCAGCATGTGTCACTACAGCTTCACTAGTATTGGTGCATGACTCTACTGCAGTGGGAGTGTTAGAAATTCATCGAGAAGGGATTAAAAAAACAACTGAATGGAAATAAATGTAATGTGTAGAAAGCCCACATGTAATAATTACTTGGATAAATGATAAAGGGCTGAGGTTATTAAATACATGGCAGAGCAATACACTTTGCATACATTAGGGATATTAAATTGTGTTCAGTCAGCTAATCAAGTAGTTGGTGTAATTTCTATTGACTACACGATTAGTCAATAAAGGGGGCGGTTCTTAATAAATTTAAAAGGCAGAAGAAGTATAGCCAGGGGACTGGGCATGAGCCAGGAATCAGCTGAACCTGGTGGCTCTTACTACATTTAAAAAGGAGAGGTGCAGCATCAGAGACTGGGCATGAGCCAGGAATCATGAGCCAGCTCCTCCCAGCACTGGTGCCCCTGCTTTCCCCCCTTGCTAACTCTCTTTGATAGAGGCAACAGATGGGAGGAAGCAACTACTCTAGTCACTATTTGACTACCTGATAAGCAGGGCTCGACAAATAATGCAATCTACTTGCCCATGGCGAGTAGATTACAACCTGGAAGAGCCGGGTTTGGGCGATCTGCGCATGCGCTGATCGACAGAGAGCGCAGCTGGTGAGCCCTGCTGATAAGCATATGCAAATTTTGGAGTAGCAAATTCTAATCTTTTCTTCTAAGGTAAAACTTGCAGCATCCAGAGCAAGGTGTAGGAGTTTGTTCATTACATACCTGGGGGAAGAGGTGCCTATTTTTTTCAAGTAGGCTATTTGTGGTTTAAAAATGAACAATTATGGTTGAGTTTTGTTGGGCCAAAGACCAGCACTACTGATGTCTACTAAAATGTTGGCGTCACAATTTCCAATCTTCAGTGCCATTGTGTTTTAATAAAATACCCTCCAAATTATCCTTTTCTTAAAGAGCGATTAGATACATTTAACAGTAAACATGGATTCCATCAATTTGCTAAGGCTAGTAACAGCATTGTTTTAGGAACCTTAGTGAAACCATAAGTCATAGAAATCTAAGAATAGGTTGAAGCTGTGAGATACTTCAAGACTTTTCAGTAGGTTAAATATTACACAGGAAAGATGCAACCTAGAGTAATTGCAAGCTACTTAATGTAAATATAGTAAGCAAAACGTAAGAATGGATATACTGGGTGAGACCAAAGGTTCATCTAGCCCAGTATCTTGACTTCTGATGGGCCAATGCCAGTTCTACTGAGGGAATGAACAGAACAGGTAATCATCAAGTAACGCATCCCATTGTCCATTCCCAGCTTCTGGCAAACAGAGGTTAAGGACACCATCCCTAGCAGACTGGAGATCTGATAATATATTATTTGTAATCTTAGGGGAAAAAAGCCATATGCTTTCAGCAATTATTCTTCTATATACGGCACTTATTTTATGACCATCAAAGATGAATGTTAAAATTATGACTATGTTCAGGATGAAAGAAGATTCAGAAGGCTTGTCTTGCGGCATTTATGGTCTAGACAACTGAAAATACAATGGGAGGCCCAAAGAAATGTTCTATAACACCTTTTAAGAATATTTTTACTGTAGTTATAAGATAACAAATCAAAATATCTCTGATATACAAGATATTGAGAAACAATTAATAAAAGCTGACTACAGTATATAATAAAGCAAAGAAAAACTGGAATAAACTTATTGTACCTCTTTACTGTAATACAGTAGGAAAGACTTCACTGGCTGGGATACTGTTTGTCTGTCTGATGTTCCATGCAAAAGCAAAAAACCTGAAATTAGGAGAGTATGGTGATTGGAGTTGCTAAATTATTTAATTGAAGGAAACAAGACAGGGGACTTCCCCTTGGTGATAAATTGTGTGCTACACAGTGAAATATGGCTATGTCTGTTCTGTTGGTTAGTTCCAAGTACATTTCAGTCTGTTTCTGTGCATCCTGAAACAGAATATTTCTGGGCCTTTATACATCAAGTCTGTCAAGTGCTAATGACTTAGGGTATGTCTACACTGCAAGGCTAATTCAGAATACCAGAGGTATCCCGAAATAGCTACCCTGCATCTTTTGAACATGTTTGCTATTGCAAAATATAGCAGATGTGCTATTTTGGCATCCCTGTAAACCTCGTTGCATGAGGGATAAGGGATGTTTCAAAATAGTGTGTTATTTCAAAAAAGAATTGAAATAAGTTACACAATTTGCGTAGTGCAAATTGTGTATCTTATTTCGAGCTAAGGGTGTAGTATAGATGCACCCTTAGAGACTCTCATCTCTTTAGGGCTGTAGAACATGAATAACCGATATGTGGATGCTTATCGGTTAATGCTATCAGCTACACACAATTCTCCCCCCCACCTCTGTGTCTCTGCATTTAAAGGATTTTGAGATCTGGCACCCAGTCAGGCTGGCTCAGTCGTGGCTTGCGCTGAGTCCCAGCAGCTATCTCGGCTGCAGCTCAGCAGTTCAAGTATTTTGGGAGATACTTTAAATGCACAGCTGCAGTGGGGGTAGCTGCTGGGACCTGATGCAAGCCAGGACTAAGCCAGCCTGACTGCATGCCAGCTCTCAAAATCCTTTAAATGCAGAGACACGAGTCTTAATTGTGTAACCAACAAAAATTTTTGTCAGCTACACGGTTACCGAATTACATGCTCCCCAACATCCCTAGTCTCTTTAAGGGAGTACCTGGAGCATTTTGTTATATACTCACTCACTCTCTCATACCTTTCATAACTGCCAAATCTTATCTGACACTTGGGAAATTTGGCTTCCCAATGAATAAGCACTTAGGGCACATCTACACAGCAGGGCTAAAGCTGAAATAAGCTATGCAACTTGAGCTACGTCAATTGCGTAGCTGAAGTTGAAATGCTTATTTCGGCTTTTGGCGCTGTCTACGCAGCAGGAAGTCTGTGAAAAAGCACTCTTCCTTCGACTTGCCTTCCTCCTCATAAAATGAAGGTTACAGAAGTCAGAGTAAGAAGTCCCCCAGCTTGACATTATTTTGACATTGTGCAAATAGCTGCTTGTAGTGTAGACACAGACTATATTATTTCAGAATGTCAGTTATTCCGAAATAACACTGCTGTGTAGCTAGGCCCTTTTAAAAACAGCTTTCTCTCAGGCTGTGTGGTGACTGTTGTGGGTGATTGTTGTGGTAACTTTCTGTTAGAACACAGGATTATCTTTTACGCCAGATTTGCTGGGTCCAAATACACTTAGAATTTTTCAGTGAGGGATGAAGACTAGCTGTATAAGAACACAACCATTGGCAACACTTTGAATGGACAAGGAGTATCACATTGCTTTAAAGAGATTCCCAGGAAGAGGAAAACTGAAATATTAAAACATTAACTTGTTTTTGTGTTTTGCCTCTAGATTAGTTCAATAGTGGGATCAGGTTTGCAGAGAAAAGTTTGTGAAAACAGCTTAAGCATAAGTAGGCCTCCACCCCTTAAAGAAACCCTATCAAACTATGGAAAAATAAATGACCCAAACCTTTTCTATTGAAACATGGAGGCATATGTTCTTCACTCAGAAAGAAGCTTTTGTACTAAGAGACGTCAAGTGTGCTGTCAGATTGTTTTTTAAATTGGTAGCAGTTTTTTTTGTGGTGTTTTTTTTTTTTTCCAGAAATCGGGCATAATTAGTCAATAATGAATTAGATATTTAATTCCTAATGTCTCTTCCTCTTAATAATTTATACGTTGGTAAATGGTTGTATTTGGCAAAAAGTAAAATTATATTTATTCCTTGCTCTTCTGACCTATTTAATGACCAAAGTGTTTAGTTTTAGTGCAAGCTAATTAGCATGACAAGATATTTATTCTTAACAGCCATGAACAGAACCTTGTATGCTGTTCCATATGTCCCTCAGTGTTCTTTATCTTATTTGTGTCAGGTACAGTAATGTCTGTTGGGTGTGAAGACCAGTTATATCTTGGGATTTCAGTTAAATCTTTGAATAAAGCTGTTACCTTCCTATCATTTCATTGCAGGCTGTACTTGAGCAACCCGAGATAGCAGATATTTTAGGGGCATTTCAGCAATCGAATGAAGTTTCAGTTTGTCAAAATACTATCGGTAGCTTGCAGCTGCTTCTAACTATATTTGAAGGATGAAACAAGGAGGCAGCTGCTTTTGTTCTCTGACATAAATAACAGTTGTTTTTTTTAAATGGTGGAGTAGCATTTCTACTAGTAGAAATGTGTGCATTTATTATATAACTGTTAATGCAACCATTTAACTATGCTTGATCCAGATTGGAGTGCTCATGTCCATACAGTGATGGAGGTTTTGTAGTTTCTCTCTAAAAATGTACACTATGAAAATACAAGATGTCCTTAATGATTTGGATCACTCATCATTAATTGAGTAATGTTGAATTTCTGAATTTATTCAGGGTCTGAGTATTCTGGTGGTGTCAGTGGAAATAGAATTTTAGAAAAATCTAAACACTACACAAGTTCAGTAGAAGCCTACTCAATTTCTATCTTGATGTTTAGTGGCTGAGGCTCATACCAGACACTTCTAGTATAATATGTTTCCTTTAGATTTCCACAATTCACACTGCTTAGAAATGGTGACTTATATAGTGCCAATCTAGTAATTTCCCCCCTCTTTTAAACAAGTAACATTTTGTTGGTTTCGTGCTTATCTTTATGAAGAAGCTAGTGACTACTTTCAGTATTTCGCCATTTCCTGAGTCTGCTTGCTTGTAATATTTTCTTCATTTCAGGAAGCCATTGTATGTAACCCATGTGCATACTGCTTCTGCTGTGTTGCTTTTGTATATAAACATAACAGAAAATGAACCCAGAGTGGCTTCTATTCCTTGTTTTCAAAAACTTTATCAATGCTCATTTTTTGATAGTGGCTGTTGAGCCAGTTTAGTATCACAAATACAAAATCTATATTTGCTCTCCTGATGTTTAATAACCACAGCTAATAGACGCCATCCGATATTTGTGTAAGTTACAGTATAAGCATACACATGTGCTTTGTCCTTAACATGGCTGAAGTGTGGGAATCAAAATTGTATGATCATGCTTGTCTTTTGGGACCACAACTGTCATGTGTATTGCCTCCATTTGAATCAAAAACATTTCCTTGTGGCTATTAGATGTCACTTAGTACAATGTAAAGGATTGAGTTTTGGAGCTTAAGGACTGATTGGAACATCTTAGTGGTTGTATGTAGCTTATGATAAGGTAAACTGCAAAGATCAGCTTTATGGTTTTCTTGCTGCTTGTGATGCTTTGTGATAAATTTAAAAAATATACACCACCAAGGAAACGTTATCAATCTAACCAAAAAAAGAAAGTGATTTTTTTTTTTTTAAGTCTGTTCAGGTCCATTGATTTTTTTTTTTTTTTAAATCCTCCCAGTTCTCCAGTCATTCATAATCTTCCCAGATGTACATGATTTGAATTTCTAGTTTTAAAAAATAAGCAAGGAAAAAACCCTTCCCATTGACATGCCTTTTGTGCATCACAAAGAGCAATGACAAAAAGGCATGAAAATAACTTGGATAAAATATTTGACTGTATGGGCTCTTGATACAAACTCTTTTCTAAATTCTACTTTGAGCTTGTTGGAGATTTGTTTAATAAATCTTGGTGTTCAAGTAGTGTAGAAACGATCCCGGATATATTTTGACACCTCAGGCATTTGACTGTTTCCTGCCATTGAAAGGAAATGTAGATCTCTGTTCTTGATAAAACCTGTCCCCGTAAGATTCAGACCTTTCGTAGTACTTATAGTAAGAAATAGCACAACTAGATGTTCTGATTGGGATAAATGCAATCATCTTCATGCAACATCTAACCTCTTAATTTACTCCTCAAGCAGACTAAATTTTATATTGTTAAGATAAAATTATATTTTTGTCAAATTGTCAGTTTTACATACAGTTCTGTTCTCAAAAATAAACAAATTACAGGATCTTAAACTTCTTCATTCCTACATCCCTATATTTTTAGGCAGCTAAAGAAACTAGATGAAGATAGTTTGACCAAACAACCAGAAGAAGTATTTGATGTACTGGAGAAGCTGGGAGAAGGGTGAGTACAGAATATAACCTGTTCAAGAATGTATGCATGTAATGGCTGATTATTTGTGAAGACTTTTTTTTTTTTTTTTTTATATAAGATAAATTTGGGAGGGGGGGGCTGATAAATCTAGTTCTTGGCATTTGAATACACCTGTGTTTAAGATCTGAGTAGTGTAAACACAAGTTCTGAATTGGAGAACATTAAAAATGGTGAGGAAATAAAATGTACATTTTTCTTGCTTAAATGCAATGTTTCTTTATAGAGTATAGAACCCTAATATGAACTTTTTCATTAATTCATTTGTTAAATTAAGGAAAAATGTTTTGTTTAGGAATTGAGTTAAAAGACTTCCTCATTAGAACAAGAGTCTACCCTTGTGGATCTATTTAGGGTCAAAATAGCATTTAGGTACCAGTAGTAGTTGATGAAAAGCACCTCTTTTGGGGTGTAGCAGTGACCCCACTGTTTGAGTAGGAAACACCTTGCTCATCAGGGTTAAGTAGAGAAGAAATGAGGAAAGAAGTAGCACCTACTATTAATAGTAACTATTAACAATTATGCTGTACAGTATAGATATGAAAAATAAGCTACAGTAAAACTCCATTAGTCCGGCATCCAATGCTCCGGGACTCCTGATGGTCCGGCACCATCAGGAACCCGGAAGTGCTGGGGCAGCCGGACAGGCTTCCCCCATTCAGCTGCTGCTGAAACTGACCAGCAGCTGAATTGGGGAAGCTGGGAGCAGAGCAGCTGGGATGCTGCCAGGTTGGTCTCGTAGCGCTGCCCCTCGGGGCTGCGGGACCAACCCGGTAGCACCCCAGCTGCTCTTGGGGACGCCTGGAGCAGAGCAGTTGAAGTGCTGCCGGGTTGGTCCTGCAGCACCAAAGGACGGATCTGCGGGACCAACCTGGCAGGACCCCAGCTGCTCTGCCCCAGGGGTCCCCAAGTCAGCCGCTGCTGAAACACATCAGCGGCTGATTCCAGGAAGCCCGGGGCAGATCTGATCTCTTTTCAGTGAACAAGACTGTTGGCTTTGGAGCTGCACTTTAAGTATACTTATTAGCAGTGATCTATTTTTGAATCAGAGTAGACAGAATCACCATTCCCAGTGGAAAATATTGGGAATCAGAAAACATAATCTGTTGTAAATTGTCTAAATGTTGTTGCTACCTCAAATATTAAAATATAAAACACAAAATAAATAACAGAAGAATTAAACTATTGAAAATAAAAATGACCATTTCAATTGTTGAGCATTACACATAGTAACCCCTTTGTTTTCCTGGTTTTTAATGCACAGGCTATAAGCTTGAACACATCACTTCCTTATTGAGATATAAGAAACCAAGATTAACTGTAAACAAAGACAGAGGCAAGCAAAAAATAAGTAACACTACAATAGCAAGAGCGGGAAGCATATTTCTCCACAAAGTGTAGGAGAGAAAAAAAAATTGCTGAAAACTGAAATTTAAAACCTTCTCCTTTTCATCTTAGAACCTCTTGTTGGAATTTCAGTAGAGTATTAGTTAAGATGCTAATTAGAAGAAACATAGAAATTGAGGTTTGTTTGAATTTTGATGTTCAGGCTCTTCTTTTTTTTTTATCTTCTATTGGGCGTGTGTGTGTGTGTGTGTGTGTGTGTGTGTGTGTGTATATATATATATGTATATGTATATGTATATGTATATGTATATGTATATAT